GTCATATTTTATTTTGGATACAAAATGTTTCTTCCTGCAATTATTTATTCCTGTAAATTATTCTGATTTAAAATTTATTGGCCAGTTGTTGAAGAAATTATTTACTTGCCATTTATTTGAATGGTTCAAGTAGCATATGCATATATTTAAGTATTTATCCTAACATTTTCATGTGATCGGGGAAACTTTTGCTCCAACTCGACATGTTTTTGATTGACGTTTGATGTCACAAGACAGCATTTGTTACAATACCATTATTTGGAGGTTTTCATAAGAAAACCTTATTACAGCCTAAATGTTATAAACTAAGGTCATTTAGACACTTCTAGAAGCAAAAGATCTTCTGGGTTGCATAAAACAGGGAAATTGGGTTTATCAAGTCCAAGATCATCTGACATTAGTAATGAGAACTGGGAGAACTAGAATAATTTATTCTTATAAGCAAACTGCTGAGAAGATAGAAAGACCTGAAAACCTTTCTCAAGCTGTTGCTGTAACATTGTTCTCCTGCGATCTTCCTTATGGATAGTGCTATATCATCCCTCCACCATCGGACTGTTTCTGTCTACTGCTGCCTGCTACCTCCACTGCCTCCTCATGGGGCTCTACCTGTTTAGGGAGGAAGGGAATCTGCATATTAAATAACTGACCCTAGAACCAATGAGGAGCTCTGCATATTAAATAACTGATCCCAGAACCAATGAGGGGCTCTGCATATTAAATGACTAACCCTAGAACCAATGAGATGGATGAGGCTAATGTCCATTAGACAGACCGATTCTCATTTTCTATGAGTGCAGTCACTTGCAGAGATCTCTCTTTTCATAGATCACAAGGCTGCCTGATATATTTTTTACCAAACATATTTCTGTGGAGAAAAGGCAGCTGGAATTCCTTTAAATTTATCCAAAAAAGGACATTTGATGAGGGCAAACTTCTACAAATTGACCGATTTGGCAGAAAGAGCAAAGAACATGCTACAGTACTCCTTGGTGAGGGATTCATGTGTCGTTCTATGCCTATAGCATTGTACACACTGGCAATGCATAATAGTCTGTGGCCTACTCTGCCACCAGGAGAGAGGAAACAGATGTTCCTATCTGTCTTTTGATGTGGCTTCTGATACTTACATTGATTTGTCTAAAATAGCATCAGCTACCCTAGAAAATTTTTTTCCTAGTCCTTGATTGGCTAATTGTTTCAGGTGACTATTAAGAATGTGGGCCAGGCACGGTGGCTCAGGCCTGTAATCCCAGTCCTTTGGGAGGCCAAGGTGGGCAGATCATGAGGTCAGGTGTTCGAGACCAGTCTGGCCAACATAGTGAAACCCTATCTCTACTAAAAATACAAAAAATTAGCCGAGTGTGGTGATGTGTGCCTATAATCTCAGCTGCTCGGGAGGCTGAGGCAGGAGAATTGCATGAACCTGGGAGGCAGAGGTTGCAGTGAGCTGAGATCACGCCACTGCACTCTAGCCCAGACGACAGTGCGAGACTCCATTTCAAAAAAAAAAAAAAAAAAGAGCATGATTATCATCTCAAGATGATCCACTGTCAGCGGGTATTGCCCTGTTACAGGGAAAAGACAGAGACCATTGGGAAGTGAACAGACAGGAAAAAAAAAAATCACATAGTATTTTATTTATTCAAAGTGAAGTAAGACCCCAGTAAGACTTTTTGGAATAGAGCTAATGAAAAATCGAGGGTAAATTTAAATTCAACACCAAGAGGTCTTAGCACTCCCTGCTCCATACAGTAATTATAGAACTGTGGTTATAGGTAGGAAGACTAGATAATTAGAGTGTTATCAGTAGTCATGGGAGAAGTGACAGGTTCATTACTAAATAAAAGTAATTTACCCTAAATTGAAAATGACAGCTGATGCCTTCTAAAAGCACAGCTTGATGAGAAAGAAATCATGAGGATATTGGATATATGCAGGAGAAGAAGGAATGGCAATAGATCTGAAATCACAAAATATATGCAGAAAGGAGATGAGGGGGCTTAGAGTTCTCCTTTTGCTTAGGCTGGTCCCGAGGGCCCATAATAGGCTATATTCTTATTTATGATATAAAGAGAACAAATATTGGAAGCAACTGTCTCAGACCATCCGTCAAAATGTACAACCCAGACAAGATCACAAAAGGAAAAAATAAAAAGCTAATAGGAGTATCAGGAAGTAGCATAACTATATTAAAATTGACTGTTATATGCACATTTTACTTAAGAAAATCTTATACAAATTTTCTAGAAGTTATTCTAGAGGGATTTCTCCTGGGCTGTTTTTTTTTTCACTTCATCTATTTGACCTCACTTTTTATTAAAAGATCTCTGTTGCATTTCTCATGGTCACCTTAAACCAGAATGTCCCTGTTGTTCCCAGACTTCACAACATGCAGTTTTCCCAGGCTGTCAGCTGGAGTGGAATGCAGGGTGGCATCAAAGCATGGTGACTGACAGCTTGCCTTTAGCAGGCAAATGATGGAGGCTCAAATCGTACTTCTGCTCCCCGCTAGCTATGGGAGCTTTGGAGAATTGCTGAGACTAGAACAACATTTCTCCACCTATAAAATAGAATATTCATGATATCTGTATTATTAAGTTGTTAAGAATGTTCTTCAGGATAATTCAGAGGTTTTACAGTAGAGGCCGACACCATTCCTCATTCTTCACACCTCCGTCCAACCACTCACCAAAGCCAGTTGATCCGATCTCTTGAATCTCTTTTCAGTCCATCCTGTTCTCTCCCTCCTCACCTGCTGCCCCTTTATCTCAGGCTTCTGCTATCTCTTGTCTGGAGTATTTCAATCAATTTCAAGTGGGTCTTTCATACTGTTACATATTCCTATCCCACAAAACAGCCAGGTGAGAACCCACCCATGGCTTCCGACTGCCCCCGTAGACATGCCTCACTCCCAGCAAAGAGCACAAAGCCCTTTCTAATGTGACCACATTCTTCACCTGGCGTTCAGTCCTTCCCCACTCCGTTTGTTGTCTGCTCCAGCCATACTAAATTACTGTGACTCCCCAAATGTACATGCTCCCTATCACCTCTGGGGCTTGCTCCCCACCCAGTGGAACATTCCCTCTCTCCTCAACTCGTCCTACTCCATTTGCGTGAATAGTTCCCACTTACATCCATTGTGAAGCACCCGCCACCAGCACTCCTGCCCCACAGGCCCCTCCTAAGTCTTCGAAGATGCCAAGGCCTTTCTCACATAAGAGTTCCTGGACATGCTTTTCACTCCACCTGGAGCGCTCATCCTTCTCTCCCGTTTCACCTCATTCATTCCTACTGATTAATTTTGCTTCACAAGTACCTTAGGCATATCAGCTCAAATGCCACTTCCACAGGGAAGGCCTCTCCAATACCCTCGTTTGTTAGAAGCCGTCTTAGCAACCTACATTTCCCTTCATTCGCACTTATCATGATTGGGGATACTATATTTGTGTAATTATTTGGTTTAAAAATCTCTGAGAGCAGATCCCTCCAAGCACATGCTAAGACAAAGATTCAAGGGCCAGCAGTTGATCTGGGGAGTGATTCCCAGGAAGGGCCAGTAAGGAAGTGGTGAGGTGAGATAGAGAAGGGGAGGAAATAAAAACAGGTGCATGAACAAGTAGATTGTCCTGCGGGCAGCTGAGACTCAGTCCTGCAGAAGGACTCTAGGAAACAGTGTGGATGTGCTCTGAGGAATCCCACTCCAGGGGCATGGATGCCAGGGTAGGGGTATTAGTTCAGCCCCTCCTGTCCATCATTGGTTGAGGGCTGCTTCTGGGATATTAACTCCCCAGCACCTCAGTATTGGCAGGACAAGCATCCTGTTGAGACCAGAAAAAACCCTCAGGCCGCATGTTCAGGAGAAGAAGCCTCTGGTGCACACAGAAATCAGAGGTAAGTGCCAGGAACAATGGCCAGGGCTTTGACAGCTGCGGCTACAGTATCCATCTGTCCCACTGGACTCAGCCCCACAGCCCTTTTCCCCACTAGTTATCGCTAGAGCAGCACTGTTCAACAGAAATATACCATGAGTTACAAATGCTTGTGTTGTTTTACATTTTTCAGAAGCCACGTTTAAAAAAAGGTGATATTAATTTTCACGCTACATTTTACTTAACCCAATAGATCAAAAGTAGTATCATTTCAACATACAACCAATATGAAAATTGTTCCTTAGATATTTTACATTTTTTCACACTATATTCAAAATCTGACATATATGTAACATTTACAGCACATCTCAATTTGGACTTGCCTCATGGTCCATGGAGTGCCCATAGCCATGTGTGGCTAGTGGCTATCACAGTGGGCAGTTCAGCTTTAAAGGACAGAGTCTGGGAGAGACTGAGAGCTCAAAAAATGCTCAGTGACAAAAGTCTCAGCTGGGGCAGTGCCTACCCTGAGCAAATTTCACTGACCGCCCCCAGGACTGGAATTAGGTGCTTAACTTCAGAGCACCTGCTGCCTTCCCTGCTACTTCCAGCACAATGTTAGCTGTACCTAGCTGGGGCTTGTGTTCACTCATCTGTCTCCCCAGCATCCTCCTGGAGCCGGTGGGGCCCCCAACTTGTTCATTCCTGTGTCCGCAGCACCTGATACAATGTCCAGAACAGAGGAAGCTTCCCCCAAGTTTTGCTCAATGATGAATCTCTTTTAAGATAAGGTGATTAAATTATCATCTTTAGTGAAATGTTAGTGAAAATGCAAATTCTATACATTGATTTTATGAAAGGTCTATTTTTGTCTTACAAATATTAGTATAGCCGTAAGGGATTATTCATCTCATGGCTACAGAGATTCAGAATTTGGACAATGAACAATATAATAATAAAGTGGGCTGTTCATAGCCACATGTAATTAACAAAAATAAATCGCAGCATACTTTCTACTTTTACCTGTTAATATTCTGGAGCCTAGACCAATTGTATTAGTCTGTTTTCATGCTGCTAATAAAGACATACCCGAAACTGGGAACAAAAAAAAGGTTTAATTGGACTTACAGTTTCACATGGCTGGGGAGGCCTCAGATTCATGGCGGGAGGTGAAGGACTTCCTACATGGTGGTGGCAGGAGAAAACGAGGAAGAAGCAAAAGCAGAAACCCCTGATAAACCCATCAGATCTCATGAGACTTACTCACTATCATGAAAATAGCACAAGAAAGACCAGCCCCCATGTTTCAATTACCTCCCTGGGTCCCTTCCACAACACATGGGAATTCTGGGAGATACAATTCAAGTTGAGATTTAGGTGGAGGCACAGCCAAACCGTATCAACAATCATTCTCAAAGAGTGGGGCCGCACTCATAGCAGCAGGATCACCCGGGAATTGATTGGAATTGCAGTGCTCAGGCCCTGTCCCTCTCCACTGAACCAGACCCAGCTATTTGTGTTTTAACAAGCCCTCCAAGGGCCTCTACTGCACAGTGAAGTTTGAGGACCAGTACTCCAGATAAAGTAATTTCCAAGTTACTTCTTTAGAAGGAAAGCAGGAGATCTTAGACAACAGCTTCCTGTGCCTAAAATTCCACACAAACAAAACATTTGGTCTATCTGCCTGAAGGTGTGTGGTTTCTCTACTTGCAAATTTATTTCATATGAAGTAAAGAGAATATGTTGAAATTTATTCTGGTTGGTACAATGTCAAATAGCTATTAGCAAAACATTTGGCTAAACAAAGCTATTACTGGAAATCTGTAATGTTTAAAGAGAAGTAAAATACACATAGACAGCCCTCTTGTTTTTATACTTGTCAGTCAGCTTTGGGGTGGTTGTTGAGTTTTATCATCTATGGGATCATATTGAGGGCAAGAGCACATTTTTGGAAAAAGTTTATACAAAATCATGGGAGACCCATATATTTCTTTCGTCCTGAACTTCAAAATTCCAAATCAGCATCTTAAAAGTTTGATTCCTACTACTTAAAAGAGCATGTCTCAATATGGAAGGAACAAGTATTTTAAAGGAAGAAAGTGGTAGAAACACAGAATTGGTTTTTGCTTCCCATGATGATATGGGGCTGCGCACAACCTCAGATATATGTGTATTGAATTAGACCTTGGAGAGAAAATAAATTAGGTCCAGAGAGCAGGAGACTTTCCCTTTGGGAGTTGCCCTAGACAGACCCTGGAACTCACACATGTACATCTTCAGTCAGTGACTTCCCAAAGAGCCATTTGGGCAATGCCAAGTGGAGAATTGAAGCACTTACCCCTTTCATCCAGCAAAAATACCCAACATTCATTCATACCTACATATACGAAACAACATTTTTTTATTTTTCTCTGGGTAATCATCTCTAGCCTCAGTTTCACTTTGTGCAGGCAGAGACATCGCATGAAACCTTTCCATTCCTCTCCCTTCTGTCAACTCCTAAAGGAAACAGCTTTTGTCTTCTGAATAGCCTAATTTATTCTCTCTCTAGCATCTTGAACATTGTAGGTACTCAACAAACATTAATTGATGACAAAGCTATATAACAGCTTTTGAATTTATTCATAGGATGATTCTTCTATTTAAAGAACATCTTTATATACTTTCCATTCTTCAGCAAAAAAAAAAAGCAAAGAAAAAAAAATGTTTCATCTTGCCAGTTCTGTATTTAACATCTGCACAGAGCACAGTGTGTGCCTGTTTTAAACAAATGTGTAGGCACACTGGTTATGTAGATTCAGGAATGTAAATGACAATACAGAGAAATGTAATTTTTAGAAGAAAATTTAACCTTAAGGCTTAATGAAAAAAAAAATGTAGTTGCTGTTTTATCAGAGAGAGCGAGAAAGGGAGAGAACAAGGAAATCCCCTTGTAATACTGTTATGCTAACCTCATTTTGGCCATGATTTTCCCAGTTATAGAGTGGACACCAGGTTATGTGCATATCTGAGAACTGGTATAATTTATCATCAATTTGCGAGCATAGATCAACCAGTAGAATAACTGTGTCAGTATAAGTTGATTTCTAACTTCAGTTGTACCATGAAGTCATTGGAAGACTTTGGGAAAGTTACTTAATTCTCATTTGTAAGTTACTTTTAAAAAACAGCCACATGTATATATTTCTTATTATTGTCATTCCTTAATAGTCATTTATTGTGTACAGGATGCTTTGTATCTCTGCAAGGTGCTGCAACTTCCCCAGGGAAGCCCACATTCATGAATAGTGTTTACAAAGTACTTGGAAAGCCTTGGATTAAAAACTAACGGTATCAGAGTAAAAGTATTTGTATTAACATGCCATATGGGAGAACCATATATTGTCTATTAAGAGACTATGTGTGGTATTGAAAATAGCTCTCTGGTGCATTGCTTTGTGCTATTTTTGTACCAAGATATGCCATGGCAAGTTTTGGTACGCCTGGGTCATACCTTCAACGTTGAAATGCTACAAAATTCAATCCTTCCACAGGTATTTGTTGAGCTCCTTATTGTTCACTTGTCTCTCTGCTTACCATTACATAAAACATATGGAAGGCCCAGTGGCACCTACAGTCTCACGCATTTCCTCTCTTTGAACACATCTTGTTAAACTGAAGTCCCCATTAACAGGCACACAGGCTTAAAAAATTACAGGTTCCATTTTTCCTCTTCCTTCTACATGGACAATACTGTTTTGAGACACACTGATAGAGATAGGGCTGACACGACTGTCTTGTCTGTCCTAATGTTCGAAGAGTGACCCGTGAGTCTTGCACCCCCTCTGTTAACGGGGCATGGATGCAGCACTATTTCAGTTTATTTTGGGTAGAACTGGCAGCCAGGAGAGCACTACCACCCAGCATTTCTCCAAACTGCCTACACAAGCTGCACCACATTCCCGGAAGACTGTAAGTCATTAGTCTAGAGAACTATATTGAAACGAGTTCCATACAAAATCTGCCCCTGCCTGGGGAGGCGATTCCTTCTCTTAGCTAATTGCTCTAGTAAGGAGACAAGGGGCAATGGGTGTATTATCACAAGGTCCTGAGATCTTATGTCGGGGCCACCATCCTTGAAAAATTCTGTTCCAAATGACATGTGGAACCTCATGCTTCATAAGTAACTGAAAGATCCTGGAATAGAAGATAATTTACCTCTTTTTTTCCTGATTCATTTGTGAACTATCCAGGCAAGTCCAGGTGGCAAAAGTGTATTTCATTAACTGGAGAATAGTTATTGAACCCCTACCAGGTACTTAGGAAACATCGTTTAACAAAGCAGACAAAGATCCTTGCCTCGGTGGAGCTTACATTCAAGGAGGGGCGGGAACACATAAACAGTGAACATGATACCTACCTAAATTAGAGAATACGATATATTAGAAGATGATGGACAACTAAAGAACCAAAGAGAAAAAGTTGATCGGGATGAGAAGGATGGAGTGTGTGAGGGTGGGGAGGTGATGCAATTTTAAATGGAAAGTTCAGCACAGATCTCATTGAAAGGGGACAGTTAAGCAGTAACTTGAAGGGGCTAGAAAGAAAGCACTCCAGGTGGAGGGGTCAGGCAATGCAAAGGCCTGGGGAGAAGAGACCCCAGTATGCTGGAGGAACAGCACAGAGGCCAGCATGGTTGCAGCAACTGAACCAGCAGGATACTAGGAGAGAATGAATATATGCAGAGAAATAATGAGGGTCTCCACCATGCAGGATATTGCTGCCATCAGAGCATTCAAGCAGGGGAGTGGTATCAGCTGCCTCACACTTTAAAACAAACCAGCTTCTAGGCTGAGAAGAAGTGTTAAGAAAAGAACTGCAGCAGCAAAACATATCAGGAAGTCATTGCCACTACCCTGGAGAAAGGGGATGGAGGATGGTCCCAGCTGGCACTGGCGAAAACAGAGGGATCCTAACTATTAATACTTGTGCTCCCCACACTTCACCATTTGATTTTTGGGAACCATTAGTTAAGATCAAAGACACATGAAATGTTTAAACAAATCCACAATTTAATGAAATTCAAGCAGAAGCTGAGATAGATACCACACCTCATCTGCATACAGAACTGAAATATGATTCAAGGAAAAAAATAATCACTCTTTGGGGGAAAATGAAATTTCTCTCCTAATCCCTTGACACGTGTTTATGGAGCCCTTAACAGATAAGGCACTGTGCTGAGTGCCAGGACACCACAAAAAAAGGGACATCTCTCTGCAGAGGGCTTACGGCTTAGCTCTTGCAGGTGAGCAGAGGTCTTAGGAATCTGCAGGGCAAGAGAGACTCCAGGATTTGGCATGATCTGGACCCGTGTTTAAGTCTCAGCTCTGCCACGAACTGTGTGACTTCAAGGAAGTGACTTTGATCTCCCACAAGCTTGATTTCTTAATCTTCAAAAATGGAGATAAAGTCGAATAGGATGGTTGCGACGTTCATGGTTATGTGTGTGAGGTGTGTGAGCATGTAAAGGCCTGGTGCAAAGGAGACACCTATAGGAAGCAGCAGCTATGACTCCTGCTAGGTGGAGACTGTTCGCTGCACACCTTTTTATCTGCACTAAAAGATGCACATGAGGCTTTTCATTAAAATAATGAGGCAGCCAATGCAGAAACTTTTCTAAGAGTGAGCTATTAAAATAGATCAATCAGCTAATGACATCTCCTGAACAAAATTTGTAAAGGTTTGGAACTAACCTTCCCTCCCTCCTTTCCTTCCTTCTTTCCTTCTTCTTAAAGTCATTAAGCAGGGCTGAGAAAAGTAGGTTTAAAGTAGGTTTGCATTGGAGGGAAGATGGTGGTGAGGGGGCACAGAGTTTGGACAGGATCAGAAGGGCTTCTCTGTCCCAGACCACTGTGAACTAAAGAGACACAACAACTGAATGCTGTATGATTCTAGATTGCTATTAGGATATTCTTGAAAATTGGAAAAACTCAAATGTGATCTGTAGCTGAGATAGCAGGAATGTCATCTATGTTAATCTTCTGATCTTGATGGTTGTATTGTGGTTATGAAAAAGAATGTCCTTGTTTGTAGAAAATATATACTAAAGTATTCAAGGCTGATGGGCATGATTAGGAGGTGATTATGTCTGCAACTTACTCTCAAATGGTCCAGGAAAAAAAGAGTTCTTGTCCCGTTCTTGCAACTTTCTGTTGCTTAAAATTATTTCAGAATAAAAATGCCTTTAGCATTAAACACAAAAGTTTAGAGTTGTAGCACTGCACTCACCTGATATGAGAGCCAGAGGGGTTGATTCTCAATGTCTGTTGTGTTCAATGTTAATTGAATTAATCCAGATGAGATTATCATTTCCCACATTTTTGCTGACTCATAATTTACGTATCTTACCCAGACAACAAATACTTACATTTCTAAGTAGGCAGTAGTAGGCCCCGACATCAGCTAAGACTGGGTCAAAACTGTCCCCTGCTGCCATCAATTGCTAGCTGTGGAATCTTAACACCCCTGTGTCTCAGTTGTCTCATCCATGAAATGCAGATAATAATACCTGCCTCATGCAGTTGTTATGAGAATGAAGCTTGATAACTTTTGCAAAGCATTTAGACACTGAGTGGACCATATGCAATATTCAGTAAGTGTTAGCTGGTATTAACTAATATTATTCTGTTGCTCACATAGCTCTATAGTTAAATAAAACATAAACATCATTATATTGATGGCAGTGCAGACCCTTTAAGAGCATTCCTCTGTTATGTCAGCTAATTTTACTTTTCAAATATGTACCTTCTAGAGAATTTTGAAACGTATGAGTTGAAAATATAGATGGGGAAATACAAAATTAAAGACTGGATTTTTTTTATAAGAGACAGCTAATTTTTTTTAAAGTTAACTTAAAGCCTTCCTGAGCTGAGAAAAATAAATATATCATCTGTATTAATCAGTTATTGCCATAATAATGCTGTGCAATAAGTCACCCCAAAATGCATCCCCTACCACAAAAATTTTTATTCTCATGCTCACAGGTCTATAAGATAACTGTGGTCCAGCTGATGTAGGCTGGGCTCAGTGGGGTGGTTCTACTGCAAGCTGTGAGTTGCTTGGGTTCAGTTCCAGACAGTGACTTGGGTTCAAACTTGCTCCATGTATCTCTCATCCTCCTTAAGCCAGGAGCTACAGGGGCATCTTCTTGTCATGGCAAATGTCAGGAACACAAGAAACAAATCCTTTTATGCAGCGCATGTAAATCCTTTGCTCACATTCTCTCCACTAGCATTTCATTAGCTAAATTAAGTCCCATGGTCAAGTCCAACATCAATGGCATGGAAATATTTTTTGCTCACAATGAAAGGACACTGATATATGTCTCTGTCTGTGCCCAGAAAACTATAGACCTTTAGAAGAAAATACAACAGTATACCAGCAGGAAGTACACATCTGATTGTTTCCCCCATATAGGGATGGATTTGTTCAGACTTATGTCTCCTTTATCTTCCTATCACCATGTAGAGTTCACAAAAGGAACTACAAATATCAGGATAGCAATCCGTGATCATGTGGTTGAGATTTTGCCCTTGCAAAACTCTCCCATGTAGAATTAAACATGGACAGCTTGCTTATCATAGTCATGTTGCAGCAGGAGCCTCTTATTTCTATAAAATTTCTGAAACATTCTTGCAAACAGTACACACTCGATAATTATTAGTTGAAAGAGTAGGAGGCAGAGTACTAATACGGGAGAAATCAGAAGGACACAACCAGTAGAATTCTCACAGGTTTCTGTGCTTTTTCAGCATGGGAAAGTAAAGTGTTATATTATACTCAACATGAATGCTATGGAAATTTATCATCTGAAGTAAATATGTGATCTTAAAGGAATATTAACTAAGAACATTTAGCTTCTATGTGACATTATTTAAGCTAACAAAATAGCCTCGCACTTCCCTGTATTTCTTCACCTTTATCGTAAACCTTTTAAAATCCCTTCTAAAATCTCTTCTAAAAACCTCAAGTTTACACATCCCTCTGCTTAACTTTTTATTGTTTATGTGCTTCCTGTGATGATAGCTAGACAAACAAGGCTGATAAAAAGAAAGCTTGTCCTTATCAAAGACTTACGGGTAACTGTGTTAATGTGCCTTGCTTTTTCTACCAGTGGAAGCCCCCTATTTCACTAAGAACTCACCCATTTGCAGCATTTAAAATGGATGGAAAGTTCTAAGCCAGCCAAAATGTCCTTCTAAAAGAATGAAATGAATGTTAATCTAATTGCCCAAGAACGCGTACGCTGGGCTTGGAAAATAAGCCTTCTACATTGGTTCCCCCTGCTGGATTTGAGGATGCACTGTCTTGGAAATTGATGAATGCAATATAACTGGACCTTTTTATCTAAGGGCATGCTACTGGAATGGCAAATCCAGCATTCTTCTAGAAAGCATTCGCTCTGTGATAAACGTGCCAAGTGTTTCTTGAGTTTGCTTCCCAAGGGCAGAAATACTGCAAATAGAAAACTGTGCCTCTGAGACTCAAAGTAGAAAACAAAAGCATGCCACTCAGATGTCTGTTCTAGCGAGGGGGGTGGCACACAAGGGAACTAAGGATAAAAACCCAGAAGCAGTAGACTAGGTAAACTGCCAGACTGGTTGTTACTATCAGAAAGCTGGATTTCGGGGTCTGACCATGAATTTCCTTTTTATGCATTTACAACTATTGGAACCAATTCCTCACATTTCTGTAATTTAATTTCCGTTTTTCTTTCCCTTCTTATCTTCTTCTCTTCATAAGAAATCTCCCTACCTCTACTCTGTAGAAGATGTGGTAACCAGACTAATTTTAAAGGAAACTTGTAACCTGCAAACGTCAGGGCTATTGTGAAGTGTGTTAAAAGGCCTGTCTGTTGAGGGAGACAGAGAAGCTGGCAGATCTTTCCTGCTTGACTCTGAAACCATTTGGTGGGAGGAAAGGGACAGATATTGGCTAAGTTTTTGGCACATGCTCCTGCACCAACTTGGCCTTGTTAAGACAGCAGAACAGCAGAAGTGACTATTTCCTCCCTAGAGCAAAGGCCAATGCTGTTTCCTTCATGGAGAACCAGAACAGGGAAAATGTCAGATAATCATGTGGTACTTGTAAATATGCCATTTAGGACACTGAATTTAAGTGGCATACAGAGCCACCCCAGGTTCTCGTATTATATTCAGGCCAGGTGTGGTGTCTTATGCCTGTAATCCCAGTACTTTGGGAGGCTGATGTGGGAGGATTGCTTTAGGGCAGGAGTTCAAGACCAGCCTAGGCAACAAAGCAAAACCCCATCTCTCCAAAAAAATAAAAAATTAGTCAGGCTTGGTGGCATGTGCCTTGTAGACCCAGCTGCTCAGGAGGCTGAGGTGGGAGGATTGCTTGAGTCCAAGAGTTAAAGGTTGCAGTGAGGTGTGAACATGCCACTGCACTCCAGGCTGGACAACACAGCAAGACTCTGTGTCTATAAAAAAAACAAAAGAAAACAAAAAGTAGTTATATTATGTTCACCATCACAAACGACACAGGGCTAAGCCAACACAGGGGATCCTGTACATATATTTATTGACTGCATTCTTCGCCAAACTCAGAGTATAACTCTTTTTTCTTTTTTTATCCTTCTATTATAAACTTTTTTCCCCCCATTTAGGTCAAATCTAAATGTTTCCCCATCTGAAACTTTCTTCAATAGGTCGTTTTCCAGAGCTGCAGGTGAAATGCTTCCCCACTGCTTCTGAGGCTCTTGCTTCAGCTCTGCTACTAGTGGCCTCCCCTTGGGAGGATTCTCTTGCCTCGGAATTAAGAGTTGATAGGAGGAGAAGATGGCGGGTCAAAGCATTCAAGCAAAACAACGTTAAGTGATTCAGGCCTGCTCGTGGGTCAGAAATTTTTAAAGGACTCAGCTGGATGTCTCTTCTGCTCCTTGTGACACTGGCTGAGGTCACTGCTCAGCTGCATTTGGTTGGCAGCTGGCTGGGTGGAAAGGTTCAAGAAGGCTTGGCTCACAGGTCTGGCCCTTCATGCTCCCCACACATCTTTTCTCTCTCTCTCCGTGTGTCGCCCTCTATTTGGCAGGCTAGCCTCAGCTTCTTTACAGCATGGAGGCTGGCTTCCCAGGGGTAGAAAGTAGAGATTGCCAGTTCTTGAAGGGTAGCTTGGAGGTCCCAGAATATCACTTCCATCGTATTCCATCATATTTGTCTAAAGAAGTTTCACAGCCAGTCAGGACTTAAAGAGAAGGAATGGGCTCCACTCCTTCAGAGACAAAGCATTTGTAGCCATTTTTAACCCACATGAATATAGGTTGGTAACTTCTGCTTCTCTTTTCTGTACTTCACTATATGTTTTATACTTTGTTCTTACGTCTTTGTATAAATTCATCATTTTTATTTGCTTCATTTTCCAAACCAAAAGACCCTCCCGGCAATGACTTATAAAATCATGCCTATACTTAACTACTTAACCTTCAAAAAGTTTATTATTTCCACAGATAAGTCCACAGATATAGTAGCTATTTTAAGAAAAAAGAAAGTTTTAGAAAGTTGCTAATATACAGCCTTCATTGCACCTGACCAGTTATTTTTCATATAATTATATATGATAGCACAAATTCAACCAACATAATCTGTTCAAGACAAAATATTTTATAGCATAGGTATGTTAGACTGCCATATGCAAGTTAAGTGAAAATTGACCCTTTTTTGCAGCATATATCACACAGAGAAGTAAAGGGCAAGAAACTTAGCCAACCTTCCTTACACAGTGCATGTTACTTAAGTCAAGGGAGAAAGGTGGACTGGAGTTGAAGTTTGTATTATATTTTGGGAAATGCCAAGCAAGGAGAGACTTGTTACCAGGACCACTGAGTGAATTTTGTTTACCGCAGTTAAACATTTCATCTAGCAAATCATGTGAGAAGGGATGAGTATAAATGCACCTATTTATGTAGGTAATTTTTCTGTTTCATGCCTCTGATTCATCTCTCTGCCTGTCTTTATGGGCAGTCATGCTACATTGCTTACAATTAATTTCAGTGCTGCATATTAGCCATAAAGAGATATTTCACAAGTTGGCCTGATGCATTTTTTTTTTTCCTCTGTGGTTTTCTTGAAAGATGAGAATGGTCCAGAGGAAAAGCAAAGTGTGGAAGAAATGGAAGGACAGAGCCAAGATGCAGGTAGGCTCGGATTTCTTTTGAGAAGCTGCCTAGGCCTTATCCGCAGAGGTGAACAATAACTTCACTCAATATTATTATCTGAAAATGCTTATAGCTTTCACCAGATGAATTCCAGTGTTCATTCAGGTCTCCCTCAGGAAGCCACCATCTCCGATAACTGTAAGTTGACTGTGCTTTCAAACAGAGTGGTACATTTTCACACATCCTTCACCAATTCCATTTTCTGCCCTATAACAGTTTGCCTGGTAAAATTCTAAGAGGGC